ATATATATATATATATATAGATATCTCCGTATTCATATCTATATATACACATTTGAGTTTTAATTTGGAGTTCCATATTTGATTTATTTTCAGGTTCAAACATTTTTTTTTAAAGTTCAAATGTATTTTTTCAGTTTTAATCTTGTTTTTGACCTTTTTCCAAAACTTTCAAATCATTTGTTTTCAGGTTCAAACTTCTGGGCCCTTGTCCAACGTATGGGTTGGAGTTTTAGATGATGGTGTGGATACAGTCTTCTTGCTTGCTTGTCATGTAACGTTCATGAACGGTGGAGATGCAAACATTTCTTAGACACATTCTGTAAACTATGTCTACAGGAACTACCTTCTATGAGAGCAAATCCACCCAGAGCTGAGACTGAGCAATTTTGGTATATGGAGGAGTCACACAGTGGTAAAGCTCTAAGGCTACAAGAGCTAAGAGCTGAACACAGCGATCTTCCAAAACAAGAACCAGTATCAATCACAGTGACAGACATGCAAGACCAGAGTCACATGTATGAAGATCATGAAGACCATACCAAGGCCTGACATGATCTACATCTACTGGCTAAAAATAGTGACTGCTCTCCATGAATGCTTAGCAGCACAAATGAATCAGCTGTTAATGGAAGGGACCCACCCAGAGTGGTCACCGGCCAATCACCTCCCTCTGTACAACATGGAATCTCTTGTCAGGTATCATAACAGCTAAGACGAACAGGCACCTGAGCGAGGCACAGAAGGAAATTGGCACCAACATCAGAGGAGGCAAACGGCATCTACTGTGTCTGATAGAACTGTAGCTCGAGACTGTAAGACCAGACGCACAAACCTGTACACAGCCTGGATTGACTAGAGGAAAGCTTATGACTCAGTGACACACACACAGATACTGGAGCGCTTGACATAACAGGACACTAATAGCTGTTGCCAAGAATTCAATGGGAATGTGGAAGACTACTCTAGAGACCAGTTTAAAGACAGTTTCAGGTGTCAGCATCAAATGTGGCATATAGCAAGATGATGCACTGTCCCCACTCCTGTTCTGAATAGACCTGAACCCTATCAGCCTGATCCTTGCAAAGAGTGGCTATCAGTTGGATACCAGTTCCAAAGTGGAACAATCATCATTAAGCCATGACATTAAGCTGTATTCTAAAAGTGAGCAGGAGGATACTGGAATGTCATTCAGATTGAAAAAAATTTCAAATGGTATCCAAAAGAAACAAGATTATCACAATTAAAGGGATTAATCTACCTGAAGGACACTGCAGATGTCCAGGACAGCTACAAATACCTTGGAATCCCACAGGCAAATGGCAATCAGGACAAGGCTGCAAGAAAGTCAGACACAACCAAGTATCTACAGCAGGGGCAGACTGGGGCAATAATCCAGTCTGGGAATTTGATACCATCCCAGACCCACAACCACCCGATTAACATAACCTACCAAGACTTGAGTTATTTTAAGCACACTTTGAACACCATATGACACAAATAGGTGTACTTGTTTAGCAACATTGGCGTCAGAAGCATTTGTAATGTGGGGGGGACACATTGGTGGAGGGGTCTGGGGGTCCTCCCTCAGAAAATTTTGATTAAAGTAGATGGCATTTCCTGCATTCTGGTGTATTTTAATGGGTTGTTTAACATCTAGTTTTACCTACATAAGTAACATTTAATTCAATAACTATTTTAGAGTTAATGGCACAACAAGAAGTAGCCTGACCAACAGCTCTCCTTGTGTGAATAGAACATGTTCTGCTTCTCTCAGCATCCTAGCTACAGTCTAAGAAACAGTGTAGCCTAAATTAATTTTTAAGAATAAAAATCACTAGCCAATATGAAAAGATAATAATCACTCCTCCTTACCAATGGCTTAGCATAAAGCAATATGATCATCAGCCATTGCGTTCTAGTAGCTTAAAATACCTAATTAAAACTCCAGTAGTGGGGTAGGTCTACTGCAACGTTACCCAGTTGTACAATCAAGAAACAACCGTAGCATTTACACAGTATGAACAACATTCAGGAATTGTTTCTATAAAAACATTATCAAATATTTTACATGAACAGTAAGATTGCTCCACCCACAAGGAAATGTAACCCAGGGTGAGTTAACCTCAGACAAACAAACAAACAAACAAACATAGCTGTAATGGTGGAGGTAGTGAAGCTCACACTGTTACCTTTGTAACACAAAGGCAAAGAAGACGGGAAAAAAATCTAAGCTACTAATAACTTATTACTGCAGTGGATGTTTTCATGCCCCAAAGCGACACAGGGCAAGAACTCACTGATGAGTGGGGTTTTGGATTTGTGCATGACACAACAAACCAGGAATGGTTAAAATGATTTATTATTAAATCGCCGCTGGTGGAGGTCTGGTTCCGGGCACAGGTCCGATCTGCAGAGATAGATGTGTTAGTGAACTTGGTTACACTGTGAAGGTTCTGGTAATAAAAGTCACTAACCTTCACAGTCAAGAGCGAGGTGGAATCCTGTAGTTGTTTGCAGAGGGTGATGTCAAGGGCTGTGAGCAGGCAGAAGCAGAGAACGGCAAGGCAGAGAACTGGTTTAGGGGTTGTCCAGGGGCCAAGCTCAGAAAGGCAAGCTAGGTTCAAGTCTTAACTGGAGTTAGTGGGAGAGATCATATCTCTCCAGTTTTAGCTTCCCTCCATTGGCTCCCTGTCAAATCCAGAATAGAATTCAAAATCTTACTTCTAACCTACAAAGCTCTCAATAACCTAGCTCCATCTTATATTGGACATCTTATTGTTCTATATTTTCCTAACAGAGCACTTTGCTCTATGACTTCAGGTTTACTTGCGGTTCCAAAAGTTTCCAAATGCAGAATGGGAGGCAGATCTTTCAGTAATCAGGCTCCTCTCTTGTGGAACCAACTTCCAGTTTCTGTCCGTGAGGCTGACACATTATCCAGTTTAAAGACTAGGCTTAAGACTTTCCTTTTTGATAAATCCTATAGTTAGGGTCGGCTTGGGTTTCCTGAGCTGTCCCTTAGTTATGCTGCTATAGGCTTAGACTGCTGGAGGACAAACTGACCACATTTTTCACTCTACTACTGTCTTTACTTACTCTGCTCAACCTGTTTTGTATTTGTAATTATTTTTCTATCTTAACATGTTTTTTTGTCTTTCAGGTTCACCTGGACCTATACCTGGACCTACCATTCTGTGTTCGTCTGTCTCTCCTTCCTGTCCTCTCAACCAGCCGGTCAAAGCAGATGGCCGCTTGTCCTGAGCCTGGTTCTGCTGGAGGTTTCTTCCTTTTAAAAGGGAGTTTTTCCTTTCCACTGTTGCCACTGTGCTTGCTCAGGATGGGAGACTGCAACGAAGCCAAAATTCAACTTGTCTGCTGGATTCATTAGATAGAGAACTTTACTAATTGGCTTTTATGTACTTTGTATGTGAATGTTCCTGTAAAGTGCCCTGAGACAACTTTGTTGTGATTTGGCGCTATATAAATAAACTGAATTGAATTGAACATTATTCAGATATGGCTATGAGAAAGTAGAGATTCTTATAATTTTGGACGTATTTTGGGTGTTAACTAAAATATTTTTTTAATTTTAATTCCCACAGAGTTTTCACAAAACATGTCCTATTCAGTGCTTGCTCACTGAAAACCCCCTGGAAGAACTTTAACAGGAAGAACTGGCAAGAACGTCCAGGCGGGGCTCATTAAAAAAGTTACCTCAAAGATCCACACGGTTACCCATAGAGACAAATTAAAATCTGGAGAAATATTACCAGAAAAGAACAGATTTGAAATGTGAGCAATGATTACACAATGATAATTCAAGATAACACACAAGTTAAAATAACTCAACAATTGTCAGAAATAAAAAGTACATATTCTTACAGATGCTTTAACACAACATAAAAAGGACCAGAGATATGCTGCAGGAAAATTAAAAGACTCCATCAACACAGCTGTAACATCACCAGTTATTGAGCCTGACAGCTTCATTGTACTTGTAGATTAAGTTATTTAAAAAGGAACCATATGAAATGAAATCCTTCTCTGGACACCAAAGTCTGCTTGTAGTTTATGTTTTGTCCTAACTAAAGACATACAGCTGGTTATTTAAACATTTGCATATTTTGCAAAGACAACTTGTGATAATGGGAACTGCAGCTGCAGCAGTTGTTGCTCTGAACGTGCTTAGTGAAAGGAGCATGAATTTAGCCAAGTGGGTCAAAGTTCTGCTGTAGAGGTCTGCACAAAGTGTCTGACTTTTATCACATAACAATTTCTAAAAGTTCCTTTGGGATTATGAAGTATGATGTAGTTATTTGACTGCATGTTCAGCAGGAACATGGCTCTCAATGAATCCTGTTTCATTAAACACCCGTCTCTCCTACATCCAGAAACTTTCTCTTCTCTCACCCATAACTTCTAATCAGCTCAAAATAATTGAACAACACTTCACACACATGCATCAACACTAGACGGAGTGTCACATACACTTTATCACCCCAGTTTTAAGGTCAAGGTCCCAAATCAAGGTCAAGTGTTATGTAAGGTTTATTCTTGTCCAGGTCACTGCTATAGGTTACTGTATTGTTGCGCAATACTTTGTCAATGGGTGTATAATGTGCCATATTGGGAGTAGCTGTGGCTGAGTGGTTAGAGCAGTCGTTCTCCAATGGGAGAGTTGGGGGTTCAATTCCACCAGCAGTCACATGTTGAAGTGTCCTTGGGCAAGACACTGAACCCCTCATAACCTCTGATGTGTGTCCCATCAGTGAATGAATGTGATAAAGCTCTGATTAGTCTCTACAGACTCAGATTATCTTTGTAGAGATCTAGTAGAGTTCTGTATAAACGGGTAAATGAGGTCACAGATTATATTGAAGCACTTTGAGTATCTTGATTAGATATAAAGTCTCTATAGAAGCACAGTCCATTTACCGTTTACCATATGCAGTTACCTTATGTAACAGAAAACTATGAGTGCAGATCTGTATCCTCACAGCAAACCTTTCCGAGTGTTTAAATGACAGGTAATGTAGGGAAGCGTTCACTCATCAATTCTTTACTCTGACTTTTGTAGCTACTGTTGAACTACCTGCAGTGGAGGAGGGCGAGTCCTGAAATCAGCAGCTGCCTGTCTCCCTCTTCTGTGCTGGGTCTCCTGAACACATCTTACCACACCGTCCTCCCACAAAGGGACCACACCGGCAGCAGGGTGCTCATTTACAGGATCAGTGCGTATCCGTGTTTGTCTTGTGGCAGTCGTTAATAAAATTCCCACTTTTTCATTAATCTACATTTTGTTAAAACACTGTATGTGTTTTTTCAATAACACACATTTTGCAGCATCATCCTTTATTTTGGAGATTGATAAAGTAATAAAATAAGTACACGTGGACTTCTGAAGGCAGTTATTTGCTCTAGATTTAAGGTCGGGGGATCAGCGTAGGTGAATACAAATTTGATTTCATCCATTCATTTATTGTCTTCTTGTTTCTGAGTCAATTGGGGTGGGGGTGCAGCTTAAGCAGGGAGACCCATACATTACTTCCCACAGCCACCTCCTCCAGTTCCTCTGCAAGGGTTCTAGGATGCTCCCAAGCCAGCCGAGATGCATATGGCGCTTTGCCACAGTCTTAGCTCTTGGCTCCGCTTGGCACAGCACCAGTTAAGGGCCAACTCACTGTCGTATCCACCCCCACTCAGCACAGTTTATGGGACAACCTTGTTTGTGGTTCCAAGCAGGCTGCTCCGACGTGCCTATTTTGACATAAGCCGCTGATTGGTCAGGAGAGCTATGTCACTGGATGACCTGCCCAGCAAAACTGTAAACTACATCTGAACCTCCACTTACTCATTGCGTTGATGAAGTGCAGCACAAGAAATGAACACATTTTCTGAGATATATCAGAGATGATGGCCCAGCATGTTTGTAGTAATGTAAGCAATGCTGGGATAAGCCAACAAAATTCAGGTCCAATTATAGGGTGATTAAAGACCACAACCAGCAGAGTGGCTCGAACACAATAAAGACCAGGTACAATCCCACCCACTTTGCATAGATGATGCCACCCACAGAGCAGGGAAACAGGTCAGCCTTCACTGTAGTGGCAAATCACCTACACCTGAGATTAACCGAGAAGACGAGAGTCGAGTGGAGCCGCACTTACAGATGGCAAAGTGGCCATAGTCTCTCAAGCCTGGCCTGGGTTTTCTTTGGGGTTTTCTCCCAGTCAGACATTTCCAGAAAACCTCCACAGGGAGGTGTCCAGGGGGTAGCCTTACGCACTGCCCTAACCACCTCAACTGGCTCCTCTTGACGTAGAGGAGCAGTGGCTTTTACTCTGAGTCTCTCCCAGATTAATGAACCTCTCACTCGATCTCTAAGATAGAGGCTCCCTGCAGAGGAAACAACTATATCTAGTCTGTACTTATTAACTTCATGCACAAGGTCAAGCTCCTTCCCCACCAGAGTGGTGACATTCAGTGTTTCAAGAGCCAGCTTTGGTATACCAGGGTTGGAGCACCAAGGCACCTTCATTTGGCTACCTACCACCCATATCACTATGCACCCAACTTACATGGTTTCTTGTGCAAATGGTGAGTCCATGGGAAGACAAACCCATGTTATTCATCCAGGCTGAGCCCAGATGGGCTCCATGAGTAGAGGGCATGTCTGGCCTCTCACCTAGGACTGTCTGCCTTTGGAGGCCCTGCCAGAGGCAATTTCCCCTGACAACATAGCTCCTAAGATTGTTCAGGCATGCAGACTCCACCAAAATAAGGTGGTGATTCACCAATGAAGCGATTGAATTTGTCAAAAATAAAAAATATATCACTTTCCTTCCACTGCACAGTTACGTGCTACTTTGTGTTTGTTTATATCATAAAATCCCAGTGAAATACTTTAGTTTGTTGCTGTAATGTGATAGAATGAGGAAAGGTTCATGGTATTTGTAAGGTTCAGTACACACCGTCAAGTACTACTAATAAGAGACAACCATTTTTTTCTTCATGAGGCATATTTTTTTCAGATGTTCCTACTAATTTTGATGTATGATCATGAACACACATTTGAAGCAAAACTGAGAAAATGTTTATAGTCTTATCATGACTAGCTGAAGTTAGAACCACTTGAAGAAAAATAACTTCTAAACCATACATTTATATTTATGATTAAGATCTATAGTGATTTAAGTGCGAGCACTGTTTTGTGCATTGCCAAGACATGGCCTGCTACAGACTTGCTGGACAGGGAGGCTTTGTAAGAGAAGAAAAACAAAGATTGCTGTTTTTTACAGAGCATAGGTGCAATCCTGAGTTGCACAATCCTAGATTGGAGGATTTGTTTTACCTCTATAAAGGAGTGTCATTGTTTCCCAGTTTTTAACCTTTGAGCTCTGGGTGTGCATCTATTATTTGCCAAAGGAGTTTTTAACTACTTGTAACTCTTTATTATTACTAATATCATGGCACCCTGGGAAAAGAATGCAAATAAATCATTAAAAGCCTCATAACAACATGACATTTATGCCCTCAGTGTGTAAACTTCTGCTCGTAACAGTACCCATGTGTTTGTCTGCAGGTCAGTGGAACCCAAAGGACTGGTCGGCCTTTCAGGTGTTCAGGGTCAGCCTGATGACTTCAGAAATTATCTCTATGGAGACGGAAACTCAAAGGCGAGGGCTGAAGGCCATCTTTGACCTGAAAGGGTGGAGTCTTGGCCACGCCTGGCATATTAACCCTTCTCTTGCTAAGAAGATATCTTCTGTACTTTCGGTAGGAGTTAGAGCATGCTGTGTAGATGACACCCAACTTTTGTTGTTACAACTTTTTACAACCAGGATAGGTGAAAACCCACAAAGTAGTGAGGTTAAATTTATTTTAATATTTATATATTTTTTAAGGTGTTATAAACCATTCCCGGGCAGCACGGTGGTGCAGTTGAAAGAGCTGCTCGCCCCGGTTCAAATCTCGGTTGGGGGGAGGGGGCTTTTTTGGGTGGAGTTTGCATGTTCTCTCCGTGCATGCGTGGGTTTTCTCCAGGTTCTCCAGTTTCCTCCCACAGACCAAAAACATGCATGTTAGGCTGATTGGTAACTCTAAATTGTCCCTAGGTGTGAGTGAGAGAGTGAATGGTTGTTTGTCTCATTTGTCTTTATGTGTCCCTGTGATGGACTGGAGACCTGTCCAGGGTGTACCCCACCTCTCGCACAGTGACTGCTGGATATGGACATCAGTGAACCCCACGACCTGAAAAGGAAGAAGCGGGTAAAGATGATGGATGGATAAACCCTTCCCACACTCACACCTAGGGACAATTTAGAGTTACCAATCAGTCTAACGTGCATGCTTTTGGTCTGTGGGAGGAAACTGGAGTACCTGGAGAAAACCCACACATGCACAAAGAGAACATGTGAACTCCACCCAAAAAGGTCCCAGGCTGAGATTTGAACTGGCAACCTTTTCGCTTAGAGGCAACAGCTCTACCAACTGAGCACGCTGCGATAAGTGAACCTTGATATAGCCAAGGGACGATTGTATCATAGGCGTCACAACCATTATATGAGATGGGGACATGTCCCCCCGCACATTAAAAGGACGTT